ATGATTCGTTTCCGGACGAACAACTCTTTGAGCTGTCACAAGCGAGCCCCCTATGGTTTGCACATATTGTAAATTACTTGGCCATTAGGCAAATTTCGCAGAATTGGTCTAAGCAAGACAAAGACCGATTTTTTTCGCAGGTCAGGTATTATTTTTGGGAGGATTCGGAGTTGTTTAAATATTGCTCCGACCAAGTGATCCGACGGTGTGTGCCAAAGAGTGAGGTGCATAGCATTTTTACATTTTGTCATTCTTCTGCATGTGGCGGTCATTTTAGTGGGCATAAAATGGCCGTCAAGATTTTACAAAGCAGGTTTTATTGGCCCACAATTTTTAAAGATGCCTATGAATTTTGTAGAACTTGTTTGCGCTATCAACAAATGGGTTCGATATCTCGGCATGACATGATGCCAATGTCCCTATTCTTGTGATAGAGATATTTGATGTTTGGGGGATTGATTTTATGGGACCTTTCCCGTCGTCATTCGGGTTTGAGTATATTCTCTTAGCAGTCGATTATGTGTCTAAGTGCGTGGAGGCGATAGTTACCCGAACAAACGATCATAGAGTTGTAATGAAATTTTTGCATAAAAAAATCTTTAGTCGTTTTGGGTTTCCTAGAGCCATAAGTGATCAGGATACGCATTTTTGTAACCGGTTCTTTGAGTCGGTAGTCAAGAAATACTCCATCACTCATAAAGTTGGCATTTCTTACTATCCTCAAACTAGTGGCCAAGTAGAAGTCTCAAATAGGGAGGTAAAGCACAAAATAGAAAAAACGGTGAGGCCAGATAAGAAAGTTTGGTCACAACGGTTGATTGATGCATTACGGGCCTACCGCACTGCTTATAAGATATCCATTGGGATGCCACCATATAGGGCGGTGTTTGGCAAAGCTTGCCGTCTCCCGGTTGAACTTGAGCATCGAGCATTGTGGGCCATAAAGAAGTTTAACTTCGATATGGCCGCGGCTGGGCTCAACCGGAAAGTGCAACTCAATGAGTTGGAGGAAATTCGGAATGATGCTTATGGGAGTTCGAGAGTTTTTAAAGCTCGGATTAAAGAATTCCATGACAAGCACATCAATAGAAAATCCTTTGAACCCGGCCAAAAAGTGTGGCTTTTTAAATCAAAATTGAGACTCTTTCTGGGTAAGTTAAGATCAAGATGGGATGGCCCCTTTGTGGTTGTTGAGGCATTTATTCATGGCGCCGTTGAGGTGCAAGATCCAAAGACTGGCCACACTTTTAAAGTGAATGGCCAAAGACTGAAGCCATATATAAAAGGGATTGCGAATGGAGAAATGATTGAGTCCATTGCTCTGATGGACCCGTTTTACTATTATTGATAGGTTAATTTCTTGTTCTTTTTTCTTTCCCTCCTATTTTATTTTGTTTTTCTTTGTTCTTGATGTGCTTCATTTGCGTCTAGGAGACTTTAAATCCTCTAAAGGTGTAATTCCTTTGGTGTTAGCCGTGCCCGAACGGCATCTGACGGTCTGGTATAGTCACCTAACCGTGTTTGTAGTGAGTTCCTAGGAGACCAACTGAGACGGTGGAAATTAAAGTTCGAATAGCAAAGCCTAGAACACAAAGGTTTGGAGTTTTCGAGACTAGAGTCTGGTTTAAATACCCAGGGGTGTGGAGATTGCTTCAGAACTACCCCGGCTTGAACTCTGTATGGCAGCCCCATAGGTTGAGGTAGCTTTATGCGCCTCGATTCTGGATACCAAATCAACCTACTCTGTCACCCTGTTGGAGAATAGGGAAAGTTACAAACACAGTTAGGGAAAAAAATAGTACTCATAGTTTTCGCGTGAAGATTATATCTCTAGTGGGCATTCCATTATTTTCTTATTTATTTATTTATTCCGGATGTCAAATGAAGGAAGAAATAATTTAGCATGCTTTGGGTGGTACTCGATTTTTAATTTCTTATCTTTAATCTTTCAAAAATATACATATACATATACATAAAGTTCTTTTATAAAAAAAAATAAAAAATTTCCGCACATGCGGCTCAATTCCAAATCCAATCCAACAATTGCACACTGCTTTAAAAGCAGGTGCGGAGAGGCGTGCGTAAACCAAGCCGCACGTGCGGTTTGAAAAGAAGAGGAACTTGAAGCTTCAAGCATGTCTCCCATGGTGGCTTGTTCTCCATCTACCTCCTTTCACTCCTCTATGAGTAGCTAGTCTCATTTTTTAGGGTTTTGATGAAACTCTAGCCATGTAATAGGTTTTTATTTTTGATTTTCAATTATGTAAAGGTTTGAACACTTTTATGGTGTTTAAGAAGTTTCATATATATATTTTCCATTATTTCTTCAAATATTCGACTTTTGTGATTGTTGAATGTTTTCCATACAAGAGTTTTTTATTCTTTCACATTCAAGGTATGAGACGAATCATACTACGAGAGACGAGTTGTATCACTACCTCAGTTTAGAGTGAACGATTCATACTACTTGAGATGGTTCGTGCTCGTACATTAAACATGATGATTTTCTTGTTAAATGTTTTGAACTTGTAGTTACGAAGCATTATTCCGTTCGAACCATAACATAATTGTTTTCAATTTGAAAACCCTATTGACATGACTAGTGGTGGACTATTCGCCCTAGGTTTTTCCCCAATTCAGTAAATCCATTTTCAGTTATAATTGATAATTTAATTATTTAGTTTAATTTATTCGATATTAAATTAGGTTATGATCAATCATTCTTTTCACCAAAATTAATTTAGGAATTTATCAATTAAATTAGTTTAATTTCACAATTGTCCCCGTGGAATGATACCTGGACTTGCCATTATTCTAAAAGAATTTGGTGTAGTTTAGTGTTTTTGGTGTGTTCAACGATCCATCAAATTTAAATAAAAAAAAAACGACGCTCCGCAATCACTCCTGACTTTGTTCCCCCCTCTCTCTACCTCTCATTATTTATCTATCTCTCTCTCTCTCTTCTCTCAACCCCACAACCCACCATCACCATCTTCTTCTTCATTTTTCTTTCTTCTTCTTCTTCTTCCTTCTCAACCCTCCTTCCTACCATCTCACCGCCGGCATCACTATTTCCTCCCCGTCTGACGAATCTCCGGCGACCACCATTTTTTCCCACGAATCTCCTTTCTTTTTTCTCTTTTTCTCTCCTTTTTGAAGGTAAAATTTACTTTTTGTTTAGATTTGTGGACATAGGAGGAGAGAAGTAGAGTTTTGATTTTATTTTTATATTTTTATTATTATTTTTTTTTTGTTCAAATCTTGATCTTTGTTTCATACCTAAAAAAATTGAAGGAACTCAAATCTTCGTGTATGGTACGAAAATGTCTGTTTGGTTACTCAGAAAATGCAAGCTTTGCTGAAGAAGAAGGTTGAGTTTGGGGATTTGGAGGAGTGGAAGAGAGCAGCGAGAGAGTGAGATATATATCAAATTTCTCTGTGATAGATGGGAGGGACCTTAGGCATCAAAAAATAATATTGTGGACCTCTTCCATTACTAAAAATAGAAGAGGGACTTTAGATTAATTTTCCCTAGAAATAAAGGTACTAATAATAATAATAATTTAGTTTTTTTTTTATTTACTATATTTGTTTAGTTTAGATAGTTTAGTAGTGATTCTCGTTAGTTTCATTAGTTAGTGGATTGTTGTTTTTATTTTTATTTTACTTGTTTAGTTAGTGATTTTATTTTTACTTTTATTATGATGTAATTGTTCATTTAATTGTTAAGTAGTTTAGTTTTTATTTTATTTTATTTTCTTCTCTTCTACTAACTTTAATAAAAAAAAAAAAAAGTTAAGTTTAGTTTAGTTTATTTTATTCTATACTTTAGTTTATTTTGTACTATAGTTTACTTCTTTTATAGCTTAGTTTAGTTTATTTAATGTCATTTTTATTCATTTATTTAATTCTTTTCGTTTTTATATAAATAAATACCAAAAAAAAAAAAAAAAATTGGTGCGAGTTGCATGTGATACATCAGTGGGCAGACTTGTGCTTTAATATTTTATTTGATTCTCATGCTGGTTTCACGGGTATATGTGTTTGTTGGTGTGTGCAGGATATGAGTCGACGTGTATCTGCTCGGGCCTCCAAAAAGGCCAAAGGTTCCACCTCTTCGGCACCACCACCGCCACCGTCACCACCATCCTCGCCCCCACCACCGGGTGACTTGCCACGGCCGAAGTGGGTTTCACGCCCTCTTCACAAGCTCACGCAGTTAAACATTCCATATTTTCAGCGTGGCACGGACACTACTTGGGCCGTTGAGCAGCTCCAACTCCGGCAACAGTTGGGCGTTTGCACTGTGACAGCGCCCACTTATCCTCGTCTGGTACAACTCTTCTACCAGAACCTGTATGAGTCACTCACCGAGGGTGGACTGCTATCTACCATTGATGGTCATATTGTCCACATCACCTCATCCATGATTGCCACCGCGTTAGGGTTTTTCGCCAAGCCAGAATATCAGCCCTTCCCGGAAGTTGAGGATCGACAACCCATACATAGCCTCATCCAGCAATACTTTCCGGGGACCCACGGTGACAACAGTTTCACATGCTTGCGGCGGAGCAAGCTACCTAGCCGCTTGCTATTCATTGATTCTATGGTCCATAAGAATGTCCTTCCACTTGGGCATAGAGCTGAGCGCCGTTTGGAGTTTGTTCGGGTTTTACACGATTATCAGTATGGCTATCAGGTCTCGCTTGAGCATATCATTTGGATGCATTTGCGGAAATTTCTACGAGAGGCAGTTCGGCCTGAACCCATGCAGAACCTGATTTGGCCACTGCCATTTGCCAATTTGTTGACACTTGTGTTTGAACTTAACGGCCTCCCCATTGTTGAGAATGAGGAGATTGATAGAGCATATCCGACTTTCGGCCAGCGGGAATGGCAGCATAGCATATCTCGCATCCCACAGCAGGTTGGTGCCCCAGTTGATGAGGCCTAGGACCCCGTCCTGTTCCCCCGTGCCTCCCTAAGGGGACCCACTCTACATGACTCGTGAGGAGTACTTACAGCTTCAGTACTCTGTGGATCAGGTCCACAGTACTCTTCGTGATCGCCACCAGAGTCTCATGGAGTTGCGCACGGATTTTTAGGCGCATCGAGACTATTCTCAGGTGACCTTCGACCAGCTACACGCCCGCCAGCTCGACATCCAGCAACGGGTTCAGGATGAAGCCTTTGAGACGCGATCTTCGATGCAAGCCTTGTTTGCCTAGCATTTCCCGCCACCACTGCCACCGGCTTCTCCGTAGTACCCACTGTATATTGCTTTATCTCTTTTATTTTTATTTTTATTTCTTTTCAGTTATTTCCTCTTCTCAAGAAAAAAAAAAACAAATAAAAAAAGTTGAGTGTGTGTGTTACTATATGCCTATCTGGATGTGCACCTACAATCTCTGGTAATCTTCTCTCATTTCTCTTTACTTTTCCATTGCGGACAATGTCATATTCAAGTCGGGGGATGAGGGTTGTATTTTCTTTTGTGCATTCCTATTTGGCTCAATCATTCATGCTTATACCTATTTCACTTGATTGCATTGCTTCACTTGATGTGACTTGTTGCTAGTAGGGTGATGATATTTGTATGTGTTAATTGGGGAGCATAGTAGACTTGTATGAAAATGATTTATTGGGTAGATACTTGCATGTGATGTTTGTACTAGGGGAGTCATTTGTGCTTGTGGTATTAGTACACTTGTCATAAGTATGCCTTAATTCACATGAACACACTCTCATAGCGGTGACCTCTTTATTATAATCCCTGGTGTACATCATTGATAATAGCTAGGTTGCAGAAAAGAATAAATGAGGAGCCAAGATTCTCTACACTTGACTTGTTTGGGTTCGTAGCCTTTTTAACTCGAGTTATTAAGCCCGTAGGGGTGTCTTTACACCTAGTGCCCTAAAATCGTCTGGTTTGGGAGTCATTGGCCCAATACTTGTTACATGGGTTAATTAGAAAGCTTAAGGAACTTAGACATTGCACAGTTAAGGGAAAAAAAATAAGGAGAATAACTTGTTTGGATTCGTAGCCTTTTCAACTCGAGTTATTAAGCCCGTAGGGGTGTCTCTACACCTAGTGCCCTAAAACCGTTTGGTTTGGGAGTCATTAGCCCGATACTTGCTACATGGGTTGATTAGAAAGCTTAATGGATCAGAACATTGCACCGTCATTTAAAAAAAAAAAAAAAAACTTGAGAATCTTGGCTGCAACAGGTTAGTTTTTCTGTATATGTTGGATGTTATCATGAGTTACACTGGGCTATTATAGTGGACAGTTAACTAATATGGAGATTGCACTTTACACTAAGGGTACTGATGATTTGTCTACTAGCATGCACAAGTATAGGGGACTTTACTTTTGTATTAATTGAATTGTGGTTTTGACTCAATAGGTTTCGTCATGCTTGTCCACTATGCCTTTAATGACTCGTTATGTTTTAATATCACACTGTAGTGGCACATAAGTTGATTGCTAGGTGGAGTAGTGTGGTTAATTGTTGGGCGTATATGAATATGAAAATGTTTGTGGGTATTATTTTTGTAAACTCTCACGAGACTTTACTTGTTCACTTGGGGTAACTTTGTGGTTTAAAGGCTTGTTGCATATGCTAAATGCAACGTTTTCCCACGAAAGAGGAAATAGCTAGATTTTGTTTAATTTTATCTCTTTTTTATCACTTGCTTGAGGACTAGCAAGTTGTAAGTTGGGGGATGTGATTAAGGCCGAATTGTACATCATTGAGGCCATTAATTAGGATCTCTTAACTTCACTTGCTTGTCAAAATGTATACTTTGTGTGTTGAATGTCAATCAGATTGTACATAGTCGGAGCATAAAATGGGCAAAAAGACAGAATTTTGAGAGAGTTGACTTTGTCCGCACGTGCGTTGACTTTTTCTGGGAAAACATGCCAAATGTTTTAAACCTGTTTAGAAAGACACCAGAAGTATAAATAGGCAAGAAAAAGGCTAGATTAGGGTTCTGGAGTTGTTTTGTCAAGAAAGGGAGGCTAGGGTTTGAAAAGAAGAGGAACTTGAAGCTCAAGCATGTCTCCCATGGTGGCTTCTTCTCCATCTACCTCCTTTCAATCCTCCATGAGTGGTTAGTCTCATTTTCTAGGGTTTTGATGAAATCCTAGCCATGCAATAGGTTTTTCTTTTTGATTTTCAATTATGTAAAGGTTTGAACACTTGTATGGTGTTTTAGAAGTTTCATATATATATTTTCCATTATTTCTTCAAATATTCGGCTTTCTGTAATTGTTGAATGTTTTTCATACAAGAGTTTTCTATTCTTTCTCATTCAAGCTATGAGATGAATCATACTACGAGAGACGAGTCGTATCACTACCTTAGTTTAGAGTGAACGAGATGATTTTCTTATTAAATACTTTGAACTTGTAGTTACGAAGCATTATTCCGTTTGAACCATAACATAATTGTTTTGAATTTGAAAACCCTATTTACATGACTAGTGGTGGACTCTTCGCCCTAAGTTTTTTCCCAATTCAGTAAATCCATTTTCAGTTATAATTGATAATTTAATTATTTAGTTTAATTTATTCGTTATTAAATTAGGTTATGATCAATCATTCTTTTCATCAAAATTAATTTAGGAATTTATCAATTAAATTAGTTTAATTTCACAATTGTCCCTGTGGAATGATACCTGGACTTGCCATTATTCTAAAAGAATTTGGTATAATTTAGTGTTTAATTTTGGTGTGTTCAATGACCCATCAATATATATATATGAACGCAGAGAGTGAATTAAAATGGGCATCAACCCCAATTGTCATTAATATTAGTTCTCTTCTCTCACAGGGCACAGAACCAAACAACAGTGTGAGGATAAATTTCAAACCTTTTGAGATATACATATGCTATATCTAAAACTCATAATGTGTTCTTGCGTTTTTGGGTTAAACTAATTGTAATAGAAAAGAAAAATGAAAATGAAAATGAAAAAACTGAGAAGCAGTGAAACATCTTCATGATCTCCTCAAGCAAAGACCCTGTTTGCCAGATTTGGACTCTTTGGTTCAGATTAAGAACCGTGACACAAATTGAGTCCGAACTGTAGCATGAGGCCCACGGGCGCGTCTACAGACCCATGTTGTGATCAAACCCGAACTCTTCTTCGGCACGTTGAAGAAGGTTCTGGAACTCGGGATGAGTCAAGAGAGAGATTGGATGGGTGCTAAATTTGGATGTGTGACAAAGTCTTGATGTATGGGTTCTAAATTTCGATGTGTGTTCTTGGTAGTTGTTTTGTCTTTTTATCGTTTTGTTGATGTAATGGGGAAAGGGACGAAGGAGATTGTTGTTTTGTATGTGTTATGTAATTAGCTGAGAGTTTAGTCCTTTTGTTTATATTGTTGTTCATGTCATCATGTTGAGCTATATTGTAAACTTTTTCGCAATGTTGAACCTGTTAAATTGATGAACCTCCTCATTTGACATTTATGCTTAACATTGGTTTATGTACAACACTTTTACTTGACAATCATTATCAATTATTTTCCTATTGTTGTCTTCTTGTAATTTTGTGAATACTTTAGTTTCTGTAAACAATCCATATTGGTCATAATATCGATGATGCATGTGATGTGTTTACTTAATATGTCATGTTTGCAACTACTTTGCAGGTACCAGCATGGTTCCTGGGACGAAGACAGGGCGACGTAAGAAAACAACAACTGACCCCATAGCATCACCCTCAGGAGCATCTGCACATGTCATTGTCACACCACAGACTTTATCCGATGAGACACAACCGCCGGATGACACAAACATTTGTGGAAGAGACACAGGCGCACGGCGTAGGTAAGACCATTGTACGTTTTTGTTGCATCTTCAGGGTTGACTGACTGCGGACTACAATGTTTATTCTTGTTCTTGGTAGTTTTGTAGGTGTGTTTCGGCCCCTAAATATAACTTTATTTGACTTAACCAAATGATTTTTCTTCATCTAGAAAGACAATTTCTTGCATGTATAAAAAAATTATAATCCCTTAGAAAATTTTGACTTAACCAAATGATTTTTCTTCATCTAGAAAGACAATTTCTTGCATGTATAAAAAAATTATAATCCCTTAGAAAATTTGCTTGGATGATTGTTAAATTTAATATTAATTATTGCCGATTATATGTTTGGGCACTAATTGCATGTGAAGGCCTTACACTTGTTGCCCCTTCTTGACCAGGGAAAAGTACGTCAACTCGTGTACGTGGTCCTACAATCGGAAAAGGAGTGCAAAAAAGGATTGTGAGAAAAAAAGGGGAGAAACTACATGTATATGTCAATCACATGCTGAATGCCCTCACTGGAGGGAATGCCATGCTTGCAACAAATGGGTTGGGCTTGTTGATAAGGCGGTTGTGCCCTCTGAAGGGAGTGAAGTCATGGAAGAAAATTGATTAGAGTATCAAAGATGCTGTAGTACAAGCTGTGTTAGTAATTTCTGACCTTAAACTAAATGTCTTCATTATGTAAAGTTGCAATTGCTGCATTCAATTTCTGTAATACGTCACACACTTATGCTTGCAGGACACGTTTGAAATTGGTGAGGATTTTCATACTGATCAACAAGCTCAAGAGATCGTTGATACGAAGGCGTATCTCTTGTACAAGGATTGGTGGTACACCCTGAAGCAACACTTCGAAAAACTTGTCGAAGAGGGTGTTGATGACCCATATAGTCATCCGCCTACAGGAGTTTGCTTGGATGATTGGAAACATATAATTGATGTGGCTTGGAAGGATGATTCTCATTTGGTAACAAACAAATATAAATGACTCTATTGCTTTATTTGTGTATTATGCATTGATATGTACTAATTCTTGAATAATTCTTTTTTTTTTTAGAAACGCTCTAAAGCTGGTAAAGCAAACCGGAGTTTGCTACCATACAATCACACCAGTGGATCTCACTCCTTTCCAATAGCAATGTCACTCATGGCGAGTTAGATACATTTGGAACAGATTTCTCATCACTTATATATGTAAGATGAAAGCCATGGTTACTATTGTGACAAATTAATTTTGTTATTTGAAACTAACAGGTAGATGAAAATGGGGAGTTGGATTTTCGGAATTTTATTCCAAATCACACAAATCGAAGAAAACAAACGAATGGATTGATCCCAAATGTGGTGAGCTACATGTAAGGAGTAAACTTTTTTTGCCAATTGTATTTAATATTAATGCCTATCTTAGCACAAAATTGCATTTGATTCTTTGTACCTTTGTTGAATAGTCTACTTTTTTTGGTAATGACAGGATGCGATGGTGAATCTACAAGCGACAGCCACGGATGCGGGGATCCCATTGACACAGGGGGAACTCTCACGGCAAGTGCTTGGACAGAGAAAGAATTACTTGCGTGGATTTGGGATAGGCCCACGACCCTATTCGCCATTTGATAGTGCGGCACGATCTCGTGACAAACAAATGGAGGCAATGCGATCTGAGATGGAGGTTCTTCACGAAAATTTGATGAAGGAGAAAGAAGAGCGCCAGAGAGATCGTGAAGAGATGATGAGGGAGAGACAGGAGCTGATGAAAGAAGTAGAAGAAGGAAAAAAAGCAAGGGAGGCGCAACAAGGACAACTGAATCATTTGAACTCTGTGGTTTTACGACTCTCAACACTGTTGGAGGGTTCAGACGGTCATCGTCATATTTGGTAAGAAGAATTTCATTCATATCATACTAAAACTTATACAAACTTAGATTTGCATATTCACTAAATAATACTATCTCTTTGTTGTGAAGCATGAGGGCAAGAAAAAATCATGCAATTGAAGAATTAAAATTTGTGTAGGTAGAGAGGGCCTATCATAGTACCCGTTATGCAATTTTGACTTTGAATGCTTCTATCACTGATCTTTTAGAGCTAGACTAATCTCATTGGAGTTGTTATTTGTATTTATTTTTATTTTTTTTCATTTTGTCAATAGGTTGAAATTTTGATCTTTTAGATGAGGCTTATTGTCCAGGAATTGTTGGATGTTAATTTCGGTTTTTGAGTCCTATAATTTGTTACCAAAAAAAGAAGAAATGAAAAATGTTAGTGAAGACTCAAGTAATGTTGTTGGACACAAGTAACAGTTTTTAGTCTCTTTTAAATGAGAAATTATATTATCAAAGATTAAACATAATTACTCAATATGATTAAGAAATGTTGAAAGAATAAGAAAGTTCTCAGTGCTATCCTAGGGATAGTAGTGGTATGGTCATGGCAATTGTGTTTCTAGCATTGAGCCATTGCATCTGTATTGTAATGAACTTACAGAAAGTAGCAAACAATCTGGTCAACTGTGCAATGTCTACTCTCATCATTCCTCTTCAACAGTTAATCTCATTGTACCTAAATTTTCTATACAGTTAGAGAAGTTTGTAAACAGTTAATACAATTCAATGCTTAGGGACTACAGATGGTATTCCGCCAAACAGTTAATACAATTCAATGTTTAGGGAGTACAGTTAGAAAAGTCGCAAAACTCTCAAAAAAAACATTCAGAAACTGAATCTCGATAAACCAATTAAAAACAAGGGCTCAAAAACCAAAATTAAAATTAATATTATAGCAACATAAACTACATATTGTGTCTCCACAGAGTTATGATCTTAGGTTACCATAGAAATGTACTCGATGGTATAAAAAATTACGTCACTTGCTCGGCAGGTAAGTTCCACAAACAAGACTGCATCTGATTTGCCATGTCTGGTGCTTGATGTTGTCTTTCGTTTAATGGGCTTCAAAACATATTTATTCATGCCGATTTGGTGTAGTGCATTTTTAATTGAGTTGCTCTCTGTGACAATACAAATTTAATGTGCCAAACATTATTGAGTATGGCCACTTTCTAGCTGGAACAATAGACAAATGGAGATTCTTTTGTTTGGCACCAATAACACCAATGATGTGATGTTATATTGTTGTAATACTATCTGTTATCTGCATATCCATTGAGCTCACTGTCAGGATAAGTCATAGAAAATTCCCTTAAAAAGGGCGTTTCGGGGGCAAAAATTGAAAACAGCCCTCGAACGACCGTGTGCCTGACACGGACAGCTTCCCCATCACAAATAGGACTTGTGACAACTGGCGGAATGTAATTCGGACCCGTAGGTAGAGATTTATAGCCAAATACACCCAAAACTTAGTCGGAAAAGGGTGTTTCGGGGGGTGAAAATTCAAAACAGGCCCCGAACGACCGTGTGGCTCACACGGACAGTTTTCCCATGACAAATAGGACTTGTGACAACTGACGGAACGTCATTCGGACCCGTAGGTAGAGAGTTAGAGCCAAATACGTCTTAAACTTACTCGAAAAAGAGCTTTCCGGGGGCGAAAATTCATAACAGCCCCCGAAGTTATGAATTGTGTGTTTATTGTCCAAAAGTTATGTCTACCTCTACGAACTTATAGAAATTTGAAATTTACTTTAGTTTTTGGAAGTCCTATGAAATTCAAATTGTTTCCTAGTATTTGATATTCTTTCATGTAGAATGATTCTCTTTCTCTCTCTGTCTCCCCCAAATTCTCCCTCAATGAGCACTGAGACATTCATGAGTGTGGATAATTTTAAATTGACTGAAAAGGGTCATCCAAGTCACCCTTATATAGATCTCTTGATGTCTCTATATAATAGGTCACAATTTTTCCAAAGTTTAGAACCTTCTGTAGAGTGATAAGGTACAAGGGGTTCCAACAATATTGTGGTGTGATGTGATCATCCCATTGGCCATCATATTGTTGTATGCCTCAGGGGCAGAGCCAGGGGGGACCAGCGGGGGCCCTAAGAAGTTTCTGTTGCATATAGCTTTTTACCAAAAAAACTTGGAAATACCAAGCAGATTCCTCGTAACCACTCTTAAAATTTTGAATCTTTTTATTGAATAGCTTCTTTTTGGAATTCACAAATTTAACCCCTTTTGACAATTGTAAGGTCACCACCATCTTATTATTACATGACACCATTTGTAAATTTCCAATCATTTTGATAAAATAAGAGGACCATTTTGTACAACAAATGTCAGTGATACAATATGTATCTACTTTATATACTCAACAGATTCACTTCTCCTATACCCTCTCAATAGTACAACTCAAAGAAACCAACTAAACAAGGAAAGAGCAACATAGAAAACAAAAAACGAAAAACCAATGCAGCAGCCCCAACAACTCAAAGATAACAGCCATTTAACCCCAACAAGAGTGCAAAACAGATCAGCTAATTCAATCCCAGCAACAATGCAAAACAAAGCAGCCACCCATAAACTCCCACCCAGAACCATCCGCGATGCTGACTCTGCATGGATTCTACACAAGGAGTACAAATAATAAAAGCACTAAACACCCAATCAACTGTGTAACAGTCCCAACAACAATGCATTTCAGAGCTGCTTCGATACTCACATTGCAGGAAATATAATCTGATGGACAGCAGTAAAGCCATTGGTATAGTTTTCCATATCAGCCATTTGAACTTCTTAAACTTAAACCCAGCCCACAAATTTAGAAGCCACTCAATTGGCCCAGGCACAACCCACTGAATACCCCACCAATCCACTGAACTAGACCACATTATGTCCAAATTGATGGACACAACAAAAGCACATGATTAACAGATCAATATCATAATTTCAAAAAATACAAGTGTTACAAACACTCCCACTTAGTACACCAAAACTTAGTTGAAAAATGGCATTTCGGGGACGAAAATTCAAAATAGCCCCCGAACCACCGTGTGACTCTCACGGGCAGCTTTCTCGTGACAAATACGACTTGTGACAACTGACGGAATGTAATTCGGACCCATAGATTGGGAGTTAGAATCGAATACGCCCAAAACTTAGTCGAAAAAGGGCGTTTCAGGGGCAAAAATTCAAAACAGCCCCAAAACCACCATGTGACTCTAACGGGCAGCTTTCCCATGACAAATAGAGCTTGTGACAACTGACGGAATGTAATTCGGACCCATAGGTTGGGAGTTAGAGCTGAATACGCCCAAAACTTACTCGGAAAAGGGCGTTTCGAGAGCGAAAACACAAAACAGGCCCCGAACCATGTGGCTCTCACGGACAGTTTCCGCATGACAAATATGACTTGTGACAACTAACGGAATGTAATTCGGACCCGTAGGTTGGGAGTTAGAGCCGAATACGTCCAAAACTTACTCCAAAAAGGGCATTTCAGGGGCGAAAATTCAAAACAGCTCCCGAACCACCGTGTGGCTCTCACAGACAGTTTCCCCATGACAAATACAACTTGTGACAACTGACGGAATATAATTCGGACCCATTGGTTGGTAGTTAGAGCCGAATACGCCTAAAACTTAGTCGAAAAAGGGCGTTTTGGGAGCGAAAATTCAAAACAGCCCTCGAACCACCGTGTGACTCTCACGGGCAGCTTTCCCATGACAAATACGACTTGTGACAACTGACGGAATGTAATTCGGACCCGTAGGTTGGGAGTTAGAGCCGAATACGTCCAAAACTTAGTCAAAAAAGGGCGTTTCGGGGGCGAAAATTCAAAACAGCCCTCGAACCACGGTGTGGCTCTCACAGACAGTTTCCCCATGACAAATAGGACTTGTGACGACTGATGGAATGTAATTCAGACCCGTAGGTTGGAGTTAGAGCTGAATACGCCTTAAACTTACTCGAAAAGGGGCGTTTCAGGGGCGAAAATTCAAAACAGCCACCGAACCACCGCGTGGCTCCAGCAGACAGTTTTCCCATGACAAATAGGACTTGTGACAACTGACGGAATGTAATTCGGACCCGTAGGTTGGGAGTTAGAGCCGAATACGCTTTAAACTTACTCGAAAGAGGGCGTTTCAAGGGCAAAAATTTAAAACAGCCCCCGAACTGCCGTGTGACTCTCACGGGCAGCTTCCCTATGACAAATAGAACTTGTGACAACTGACGGAATGTAATTCGGACCCATAGGCTGGGAGTTAGAGCCGAATACGCCTTAAACTTACTCGAAAAATAGGCGTTTTGGGGGCGAAAATTCAAAATAGCCCCTGAACCATCGTGTGACTCTCACGGGCAGTTTACCCATGACAAATAGGACTTGTGACAGCTGACGGAATGCAATTCGGACCTACAACTGACGGAATGTAATTCGGACCCGTAGGTTGGGAGTTAGAGCTGAACACACCTTAAACTTACTTGAAAAAGGGGCGTTTCAGGGGGGAAAATTCAAAATAGACCCCGAACCACCATGTGACTCTCACGGGAAACTTTCCCATGACAAATAGGACTTGTGACAACTGACGGAATGTAATTCGGACCCGTAGGTTAGGAGTTAGAGCCGAATATGCCTTAAACTTACTCAAAAAAGGGCGTTTCGGGGGCGAAAATTCAAAACAGCCCCTGAACGGCCGTGTAACTCTCACGGACAGTTTTCATATGACAAATAGGACTTGTGAGAACTAACGGAATGTAATCCGGATCCGTAGGTTGGGAGTTAGCGCCGAATACACCTTAAACTTACTCGAAAAAGGGCGTTTTGTTGAAGTGCCCATTGTTCTTCAGATTCGTACAAATAAGATGGAAGAAATTTTTTTTCTTGCTCCGGATGTGAACTTACAGGAGCTTGGTATGTGAGTTCTGCATTTTGTTAGTATTTGTTATTGCCATGATAGATCAACACATGATTGGTTCTGCATT